CAGGGGACACAGGTTTGTGCCCCGGTCCGGGAGGATCCCACATTCCGCAGAGCGGCTGGGCCCGTGAGCCATGGCCGCTGAGCCTGCGCGTCCAGAGCCTGTGCTCCTCAACGGGAGAGGCCACAACAGCGAGAGGCCCGCGTACCACAGAAAAAAAAAACAAAGAAGAACAGATACCCATGCCAAGTTAATGGGTGTAACCAGCCAACAGGACTGAGCTTACAAAGGAGATTAAAGATTCATTTTTGGATAGTAGTTATACTGGTAAAGATCTATGAAAATGGTCACCATTGAAAGGGCAGGTAAAATGCTCCAAGCCTGACCTTGTATTTCTAGTCTCTATGGGGAGGAAAGTCTGCCGAGGAACAGGATGCTAGTGGAGGGATTGTGCCGGATGAAGAAAATGAACGGGTGGTCGGCGGTGAAATACTCCTCTGTCAACAGCATGCAGTAGCTGACGGTGACCGAGGTGGCAGCCGCCGCCTCTGTGCCCTCCTCGTTCACCTCCACGAAGGACTTGTGGACCACCTTCGATACAGAGAGGCCTCCGGCTCCTGATATGCCGGACAGGTCAGCCTTGCCACTGAAGAGATCCTGCATACCCAGGGAGGCCAGCAGAGTGCTGAGCTCGTAGCTCTCCTCCAGCTTAAACCTGGGCAGCTGGACATTGACCTCAAGGAGATCCAGATTCTCGGGTCTGGTCCACTCACGCAGCTTTTCCAAAGTCAGCTGTTGCTCAATCTGGATTCGGAATGGGCAAAAACAAGAGCTGAAATCATTTTATAGAAGGAAGTTAATGAAGCATTGTTTGAATGAACGGGCTCCCTAGCTTCCTTCATATTTTGTACCAACACAGATTCCATTTGGAGCATTTCATTTCTTTCTGGCTATTGGTGATAATGAACAGAGCTGCGTTCCCAGCCACCAAGGGCCCATCCACCCAGGACTCACCAGGCCCCTGCCACATGGGTCACGGGCCGTCCTGGCTAAAATTGCCCTAATTGGTCGCGTGATGCAAGAGGGTATTTTAAAGCTTTCTTCCATTATTTCATTCTGTTTATTCTGAACCCCAGTGATCACTGTTTATCTGGGAACCTCACACAGCGGAAGTTATCTCTGATAGATGTAGCTCATTGGTAAACACAGAAATGGACCTAGTTCCTCATCTAAAATGGGATAACAGTAGCACATACTTGGAGCGCTGTAAGTGCTGAATGAGTCACCCTACACAAGTGCTGTGTAAGGTCAGCTACTGTCATTACTATTATCACTGCTACTGCACTGGAACAGACGCACATTCCACTTTTCTACTGGTGCTGGTCATTCCAGACTTTCTTTCTGATAATCAGGAACGGACAAGTATGCAAATACAATTGAAAGAAGGAACACAGTGGTTTTAACTTATGCTCTAGAGCTGCAAATGGCTAATATAAACACCATCCAACAGCAAGTTTGGTCAGGGGTGGGGGAGGGGAAAAGCACACAACAGGCCAGAGACACTGAAGCAAAACCTCACTCTTCACAGTTTTGCCTCTTCCTGGCCCTGGCATGAGATACGATTGCCTTTGAATTACAATAAGAGAAACCGCAGACAAAGTTCAGGTTAGGCAGCGGGCTTATCTCTCAGACTAACGGGCCACATGGATCTTTTCCTGTCATGTAGCAGTTGGACATTTAATGCACAACCTACGTGAACTGCGGTGAGAATGACCAGATTTTACAGCACATGGCGAAACTATAATGGTCGAGGGTTTTT